ATCTGGTGTTACAAACTTTCCCAGCTGAGTATCTAATACCAGCAGACAGTTTCAAATCAACATGAGGTGATCGAGTAAGTGTTCTCATGGTAATTAGGAACAAAAGGAAGGAATCTCATGAAAATTCCAGTGCTGCTTTGTGCCTGTCTACAAATGGATAAACTCCTGTATTAAATGTGTCAGTAGGGGCTGGGGAAATGGCTCCACAGTTAAAAGTGCTTATTGCTCTCACCAAGGACCCAGGTTCTGTTCTCAGAACCCACATGGTGGCTTACAACCTCTTGTAAATCTAGTTCCAGAGCATCTGATGCCTTTTCTGACCTCCAGAGGCCCCTGCACATATGTGGTGCACACAAACTCTCAAAGGTGCACATGTGTGCACATAGACACACACTGCACACAAAATAGTAAAATGATAATAAAAATTAATCTCAAGGAAAAAAATTAGCTGGATGTGGTGACACATGCCATTAATCCCAGGACTTGGGAGACAGAGACATGTAGATCACTGTGAGCTCCAAGCCAACCAGGCAGGGCTCCATAGTGAGACCCTGGCTCAAAAAATATATATAAGTAAATAAGTCTTTGAAATGTGTCAATAGCCTTTCTTAGATATAAACATGGACCTGAATACAGGCAGCCTATATCTGTCTTTATTTCTAAAAACATTTCTGTGAATTAGTAATTCCTCCAAGTATAATGCTGTTACATTGTGAAGTCAATATCTAGAGTTCACAGGTTCTCTTGCCTAAGGAAAGCATTCTTCTGTTAGCCCACACAGACCCCAGATGTCTGCACTTCTGAATTCTATCTTCTGTGTCAGGATGCAAGTTTCTTAACTATCTTCTGTGGCTCTGTCCCCATCCACTTTTGCTAATACCACACCTGGCTGATGACTGTACTTCTGCAATTCCAAATAATGGAAATAATGGAAGTCCTTTGAGGACCTTAGATAGAGAAGAAATGCCCATTAAGCAGGTTGCATTTAGGGAGATGAAAGGGCATTCCAGGAGGAGCTAGGATAGGAGCAGCTTCAGTGAAGTCTGACAGTGGGAAAAATGCTGAGCAAACTTGCTTTTAAGTAAGGGGCTATTGAAATGGATAGACAAGTCCTTCAATTTTCAAAGGCTCAAGTCAAAAATAGTCAAAACCCTAAATTCAAACAATAGCAATATCAAAAGGGGAAAAAATGCTAAAACAAAAGAAAAATAGCTGTCACTCCAATCTGTGACCAAAGAAGAAGAAGAAGAAGAAGAAGAAGAAGAAGAAGAAGAAGAAGAAGAAGAAGAAGAAGAAGAAGAAGAAGAAGTCTGCTGTAGGATTATCTTGTTAAAGGATAAATCTTGTTTTTTCTTAGGCAAATGTTTTTTAGACTTCCTCAATATGAAAATTAGGTGAGGATAGTGAGCATCTAAACAGAAAAGACAAATAAGAGGAGTGGGGAATGATTTAGCTAGGTAGGAATTGAACTGACCTGTAAAATATTGAAGAAAAAAATGAGGAAGTGGCAGAATAAAAATACAGACCTGGGTACTATTGTGCTACAGTGATTGTGTGTGTTTATACTTGAGATTGAAGAGATTAGAATTCAGTATGCCCCCACATCTTAGTCACTGTTCTAGTGTGGTGGTGAGACACCATGACCAAGAAACCTCTTATAAAAGAAAGCTTTTAATTGGGGGCTGTCTTATACTTTCAGAGGTTAATCTATTACCATTATTGTGGGGAGCATGGTGGCATGCAGGAAGACACCGTGCCAGAGAAGTGGCTGAGAGCATTACATCCTAATCCTCAGGCAGCAGGCAGAGAGATTGGGCGTGGCATGGGCTTTTGAAACTTCAAAGCTCAACCCCAGTGACACACTTCTTCCAACAAGGCCACACCTTCTAATCCTTATACTTTCAAACAGGTCCATTCTTTGGTGACTAAACATTCAAATTTATGAGCCTGTGGGGGCCATTCTTATTCAAACCACCGTACCTCATATACCACAAATGACATTCTTTGACGATAAGGATTAGAATACCTTTTTTCTTCTCTCTTCCTTTCCTCCTCTTTCTCTTCTTTCTTTTCTTATTCCTCTTCCTCTTCTTACTCTTCCTCTTCTTTTCTTCTTCCTCTTGTTCTTCCTCTTCTTTTTTCCTTTTCTTCCTCTTCCTCTTCTCCCTCTTCTTCCTTCTCTTCCTCCTCCTCCTCTTCTTCATTTCTTTATGTAGCCCTAACTGTCCTAGAACTTGCTCTAAACACCATACTAGCCTCAAATTTAGAGATCCACCTGTCTCTGCCTCCCAAGTGCTGGGATTAAAGGCATGCACCACCATGCTCTGCCAAGAATGCCTATTTTTCAACAACTATCTTTATATGTGGCTATATTAATTGCTTTTCTTTCCTGTTACGGTAACCATCATGACCAGAAGTAACTTAGGGAAAGAAGAGTTTATTTTCATTTATGGTCCTGGTAGGATAAGAGCCTATCCTGGCAGGAAGCATGGCAGTCAGGGGTAGGCATGACTTTCACACAGGGCACCCCTATCACATACTGCCTGACTTTAGCAATTCTTTGAAAATGCAGTGGAAGTACTCATGATCCTTAACTCTTGGACTCCTTGTGCTTCTAAAGCCCACACCATATAAATGGCACTGCCAAGTTCCATGGCAAATTTGGGATGACAGACCCCAGACCTCTGGAGCCACATTATCAGCAGCTTTGTCTGCAGTTACTTTTCAGGAGCAGAAAACTCCTTAGATCTTTTCCTTTTACAAGTTGGGAGCTTAGCTGGGTGGGGTCTTGCCCTAAGGGTACCCCCCTCCCCCTTTTTCCCCTCTTC